TTAGGAGAATGTCATTTAATCATTTAATTTTGCTGCTTAAATGTTATTTTAGGATGAAGCCTATTCATAAGCAACACACTGATGCAGTTTAATTACAGAATGCTCTTTTGTCCTTTCAGCGTTCAGCGTAAACTAACTGACAATCTGAATAGCATCCGAAATTTATCAGAGGAGTTTATTATTAATTGGTAAGTTTACAGATACTTAATGCCCAGCAGAGTCCTTTTCATTTTCCAGATTTGCATTTTTCAAAATCCTGCTAATTTTATGCCACTTTGTGGCCATTTGCTTATCTGGTTTAACTTCCTTTGTATTTATTGATTTTTAATTGTTTGATTCTACCTGTAGACTACCGTGGAAATGTGATGAAAGGGCACAATAAAAATACAAAGCAATGAAATAATTGCTTCTTTAACCTTTCAAATATTAGTTCTGAAGTGTCCGGGGGTGTACAGCAGTAGAATGTGAATATTGCCATCATATATATTTGTTGCTGCAATATATGGCTTTTAATGAAAGATTTCAGAAGGGTACATCATCTCCCTCTTTTCTTTCAGCACTTATTTCTTCACAAGTTGAGCATTTTCGTATGATCAGGAAAGCAGCAGTCTGGAGCAGGATTAATTTTTTCCTTTTGTTCTTTAACCAAGCCAGGTTTGTGTGGAACCATGATTCCATTCAGTTGCTAACTAGGAAAGATCCATATAGGCCGTGCCTATAAATCTCTCCCTCTTCCCTCCTGTCTCTCAGACAATGCTGACCTGAAGTTCTCCCTTGCCTTGCATGAAGGATAGATTGGCCTCAGTTAACCAGGGCAGTCCAGTATGCTAATAGTTGTGGTCACTGTGTTTGTGATGCAACTTAGAATGTCACTGGGGAAGATTCACTCCATTCTTCTGTCATTTTGTTCTTTGTCCCAATGAGAACCACGGCAGAAATGCCTGTAATAATGACCTCCCCCAATTTCTAAAATCCTACTTTCCTAGCACTTGGGACTCAGTGTATACCCTGCTGCATATAAAGATCAGAATACCTTCTCCAGATTTGATTGACTTTATGCTAGGAAAATGTTCTCAAAAGGTGCTTCACACATCACACAATATCATGTTTTGTTGAATAAACTGCAGTTGGATAAGTTGATATAACCCATAAGATAAATCATGATTTACAAATTGGTAATGGCTGATCCACGTGAAACACTAAGGCAAAATTAAACAAGCTACGTTACAGTTTAATATCGTTGGTAAATCAGACCAAAAACTTCAAAAAAGGAATGTTATTGGAACTAACCAGTTCACTGGAACATTAAGAACACTTCTCAAGCTTGAGTTATATAACTGATCACCAACTTGTGAAATGATTGTCTTTGAGTTGACTTTGGTTTCTAACACCGTGTTAAACAGTCTCCGTGATTCCCAGTTGTGGCTTTGCTGGATTGTAGGTAAGATCCAGCAATATTAGAGGTCATTGAATCTCCACACCCACTTTAGAATTGTGTATCAGCAGCATTAAAATTTAATTGAGCATTATGGCAGTTGGATTTAATTAGGGATTGAATTGGCCAGAATGCAAGGAGCTACTTTAAGTATGTCCAAGAAATAAAATGCTTTTTTTTTTTTTTTTTACTTTTAGTCTTTAATAGCAGACTCCTATATGGCATTAGAAACTTATTTTAACCACCAAGAAAATTTAGAAGGGAATTACTTTGTAGTATCGGAAACAGTTGAGAAACAAGTCAAATTGGTGGTTGAATATATTGTAATTAGTCTTTAAAGGCATTATGCAAATCATTTTTTTCAGAACAGATTCAGTGAGTCAGGTTCAGTTTTGAAGCCTGGGTTTTTAGAATTTGGAAGTGGTTTTTTTTTTTTTTACTTAGATTATATGTTAATTTTAAGAATGTTTTAATTCCTTTTATTATACATAGCCACCTTGGCAAGAGTTTTGACGTGAAAGATAGTCTATAAATATTTTAAATAAAACATAATAGAATTAATAAAGCTTGTGTCTAAATTTTATCACTAGAATTCTATATATGTCCTTTTGGCCTGTTGGGTGATTCAAAATTTTAATATTTATTTGCAAATAATAAATGTATTGCGCTCAATATCCACTGTCTGATCTGATCTGATCTATCTGATTTTGTCTTCCAGGTCTTCCCATGATATACAGTGCTGCAGAATTTTGAAAGCAAGGGTGAGGACCTTGGCTTGTAACTAGGCTCTGTCATGGTACGTGCATAGATTCTTTCAGGGCTGTGAAAGAAAAAGGACAGTTGAAGCACGAGAATCCAAGAGTGGCAACCCGTGGCTGCTTGCAGCAATCTTTCAAAGTTTGATTGTACTAAGAGATTACAACTCCTTCAGAAGATGACTTTGTTTTGATGCTAGCAAAAATGGATGAAGTTTCACTCTGTTCTGTTGAGGGCATCATAGAAAACTGTAGCTTGTAATGGAAGCAGTGAGTTGGGGAATTAAGTCACTGCTGTCCCTGGAAGGTTCATCCAGGTGAAGCTGCTTCACCTGCCCCTTTGCTTTATCTGATCAGACGGAGACTTTTGTCTGTGCCCCTGAACCCTTGTTTCCCATTCACAGAGAAATAAAGGGTGTTTAGTTCAACAGGACACACTTCCAGGATTCCTGATGTAAAATAAATGGTATCATTCAGCACAGCTAAAGCACTGGATTTCACTGGGTTCACACACTACACTAAGTTGTGGTTTGTTGAACCATTGCTTGTTGATGAAACCACCACTCGCTAGGTTTTGTATCCCATGCTAAGGCTCACCTGTGAATGAATGCAGAGGGTTTAGGGAGAAATCCTTCCTGGAGTGCAAACTCTGCTGAAGTATGAGTCAGTCATCCAAACAGTGCATGTCAGAAATCAAGCAACATTGAAAAGCACATCTGTACCCTCCTCCCAGACTCCTACAAAGACAATCTCACCCAGCCTGCTGCTCTCCCCAAGTCTGGCAGGGCGAGGGATAGGGACAGCAAGGAGGGGGGAAGTCAAGGAAGGCATATAGCTGAGCAAGGCTTCCCATCAGTTGTGTGCAGAGAGTGATTCACCAGGAGATTGTGTGCTGCGCTCTGCCTCAGTGGAGTGCTCCACAAAGGACAACCTGAGAAAGCAGTGGAGTGGTGTCCTTTTGTAAAATTCACAAACCATAAATCAGACAAACCACGGCTTGAAGTACTGCATGAACCCTGTTTCAAAGTTGGATTTAAATTCCATAGCGCCAGTTTTTGTACACGGGCCTACCCAAAAGGTTTGGTAGAGGAAGCATAAGAACGGAGTTTCAAAATGTAGTAACCAAGAATGAATCTTTGTGACTATTCAGTTAGTGGAAAAATGTAACTAGTATGTATGGGTGTATAACTCTGTTGACGTGAACAGAATGATTGGCTTGACCACTAAAATTAATAATTAATAATTCTCAGGATGAAGAGACTCATCATAGCCTTGAATGCATCCAAGCTAATCAGATCTTCCCCAGGAAGCAGCTGATCCGGGAGGATGAAAATCTCCAGGTCATCACTTGACTCTCCTTTGCTCTTGCAGCGTGACCCAATGGTGGTGCTGGTTTTAGTCTAGATCAGACAGCAGAACTTTGGTGTGCTTGATTTGGTTTGCACGTAGAAGTTTAAGCTTTTTGGTTGAAGCAGCAAGCTTGGTTGCAAAAGTTCTATATACTTAGAAGTTTTCTAGTAAACCAGTTGGTCATTGGTCTTTCTTCCTGCCATTAGAAATAAAACATTTGTAAGACCTCTGCCTGTGAACATTCCAGGTTTCTTGTTTGGGTCAAGTAGACCCTTTTGAAGACTGAGAAGATCATATATCCTTTGGACATATCCATCCTTTGGAATCACCCATTTCTTCTTAATGCATCCAATGTCCGTGAAATTTTCTCAAGATTGTTTTTTCCCCCATTAAAGTCCAGTAAATAGGAGTGCTGGGCTAGTTCCAACTAGCAAAATAACTCTTGGAGTTATTTTTATTTAGCTGGTTTTCATTCAGAGTAAAAAAGCAATTGGTCCATCCTTGCAATAAGATTCCTCTGTGTGGGAGGCCAAGTCGGATGTCTCTATTCTGCCCCCCACCAAGGTCTTGCTCTGAAATTTCTATAGTTGATGATAATTTAGGACAGCAAAATAATCTTGCTTTCTGGAATGGCTTGAAAGGCTCCTTATTGCTCCAGTGGCTGCCAAGCTGGGACCAAAAGTCATTTCTTCTAACCTGTACTTGGTTTGGTTGAGCATCTGTTACTAACATTCTCTTTTATGAGAATATTAGATAGGGAGTTGATATGAAAGACGAAGAGCAGTCACTATGCACAGATGCTCGTAGATGCTCTTGCAGGGCTCCACAGCTTTTTGGGCTGGTGGGTGCATTGGGCATTTTGGGGCAAAAGTTATATGGCCGCCGCACTTGGGGAGGCAGGCTCAAAACCCCACTTCCCAGAAGGCAGACTGGTGGAGTCGTTCTTCACCACCCCTGTGCCCTCACGACTGCTCTGTGTTCGTTCTTCTAACTTGTTTATAAGTGGTGGGAAGCTTTCAAGTAGAGCATTGGGTGCACTTCCTCTTATGTTTATATTCTGAACTGCCTCCAGAGTATGTAACAGGGCCCAAAAGCACCCAAGGGGTCAAGAGTTCCTTCCCCTACCCCAGAAATAAAGATTAGACTGCAATTGGTGCTTTGCTTCACAACATGGTAGGTTCCCTTTAATGCTTAGAAATTAAAATAATCTATTGATAATCAGGTGGGTCATGGAGCTAGTCTGAGGCCAAGGACAGAGCATTTGGGCCCTTTGAGGCCCATGGGCACCATGTTGCAGACTCAGGTCCCCTTGTTACAGCCTCTGCATAATAATATAGTTTACCCAGACACACGTGACTGTGGGGTCAGGTAACAATGAATATAGAAATGCCCCTGCCCCCTTTGGTTTCTGTCCCAGAGCCTTGAAACCCCATTTTAGGAAGTGTTTGCACGCACACACGTTTGTGTGTTTTGCTATTTCATGGTGACCATCTTATGTTCCTTCAAGGGGCATGGATTTCTGAGATAGACATCTTTGGCCTTGAGAGGCCACCATCCGCTTGTAAAGAAAACGGATCTCTCCGCTGTCTCTGCAGGTCCCGTTTCTTGAGCTTCATGGGGAGAGTACCGAGTTCGTTGGCCGAGCAGAGGATGCTGTCATTGCCCTGTCCAACTACAGGCTTCACATCAAATTTAAGGAGTCCATGGTGAATGTAAGTTGTCTCTTCTGAACCAGAAACTTGGTGGTGGTGGAAGTGGGAGAGGCGTGGGTAGATCCATTTGGGGCCAGGAACTGCACGTAGTCATCACAGCTCCTCCTCCTCCTGCTGTTACTTTTTGCCTCTAAGCACTGCAGTCAGTGCAGTGGCCCCGTGACACCCCTGAGAGATGTGGAGGCTGATGCTCTGAGTGTTTTTTCCAGACATAAAATTTTTTTCCCCAACACAAAGTTGATATATTGGAGAAACTTAACATTTAATTTTGCCCTTCCTCTTCTCCTAAAGCATGAAAAATCAGGCTGCTGGGGTACCACATGCAGAGGTACCTACTGTTGCTATATTCCGTGATGCTCATGAGTTCTACGTTAGATGTAGCAGTTCTGAAGCTGGCAGAGGTTTGGAATTGAGGAAGGGTGTTTGTTTCCCTTCAACTGTTCTGAAGAATGCAGCCTTCTCCTCCCTTTCTGCGTTCCAGCCGCTCCTCCCCTCAGTTTCTCTACTCGATTGCCTTAGCACCTTCGTGCACCAGCTTTTAAGGTTTCTTTCCTGCAGCTACAGGAGAGCGAACCTTTATTCTCTGCAGCTTCTGGCTCAGTTTCAAACTCATTTCTTACCTGTCCCTCTCTGGTTGCTGCTGCTGGTAAGAATGCTTGAGGTTGGTGAATGCGGCCTCTGGGTTTCTGTCTGTATGCTTCAGTACAGAGACCTGATAAGGAAGAATGCAGGCTGTTGCTTGAATGTGGAAGAGTCTGATTTGAATTGGCCCTTGACTATTTGTTGCTGCATATAATGAATCCCACTTGGGCTGGAACACAGGTGTTTTTCCCCCCGCTTTTTCCTCTTCTTTAAAAGAGGCAGCAGACGTGTGAGTCTGAGTTCTACTTCACCTGAAGAGCACTCAGCTCAGAACTGATCTCTGAGAAGCCCGGGCGACCATGGTTTCTCTCCCCTGTAAGATTTTGGGAAAGTTCTATTATTTGTGGCGCTTCATTCCATGGCAGCCAACTGTGGTGCCACCTGGCTGGGTGTGCCAGTGCGGAGAGGCGGGTGGAATTTTAAGTGATCTTACAGGTTCTTTTTAAAAACGGCTGATTTAGGACAAGAAGAGCATCGTTGTTGTGTTGTGTTGTATTTTATTTTATTTTATTTTATTTTATTTTATTTTATTTTATTTTAATCCTCATGCATATTCTCCTGGGGAAATGCGTGAGTCCCTTGTCGGCCAGCAAGTTAGAACAGTTCTCTTCGTTGGCAGCTGCGCACCTACAAAATATTACTCTGCTTTCTAGCCTATCACAAAGCTCTGAGTCATCCGAAAGATATGACCGTGAGAAGAAATAGAATCAGAACTATATCTTGGTCTTTAACTTAATCCAGGCCTCTGCATGAATGAATCCCCGACCTTGTTGTTTGAGCAGAGCTGCTGGAATGTTGTAAGCAGGCTGTGAAGTTTTGCCATGGGCAAAGCCGGTCCCCAAATCCTTGGGGGGGGGGGCAAAACCTGCAGGATCCTCCTTGCTCCTGCTTTGAGTCCTCCTCTTCCCTCCCCATCTCTAGCACCCCAGCTGACCTGCCATTTCTGGGCCACTTGGCCCATTCCCGAGCAAAGCTCTGAGCTGCACCCATCTCCTTCCTTTATTTTTTCAGAATGCTGACGGGGTGGGTGTGAGGCTCAGAAGCCTTTTCGGAAATAAAGCTGATGGTGGAGATTGGCTCTTTGCTGGGCAGCAGGCCTGGCTGCCATTTTATTCACCTGTTTTAATGAAGAGATTTTTTTTTTAAAAAGGAGGGGCATGTCAAGCAAGGCAGGAGTCAGACAGATCTCTGCTGCCTAGCTTGGAGCCTTCAGTCAGGGCAAACAAAAAAATTGCATCCATTCCATTCATATCTTAACATAGACACGTTTTGGCAGCTTTTTCTAGACCCCATCCTCCGTGGCACGCTCTCACATGATCAGCCACAGCCCAAGCGTGGCTGTAATCTTTCACCGTCTCTTATTTTCACATACAGGACCCTCATGCTAAGGCCATGATGTAGGATCATGTAATTAAACAAAAGATGTCCATGTTAAGCATTGGCTGGATCTTTCCTCTCTCTTTCCTTTGGGGCTGCGAGCTTGTTTTCATTTTAGCTGATTCCTGTCTCGTCTCTGATGTTCAGCTAGTCAGTTGCAAAATTAACCTCAGAAAGAACCCAAAGAGTCAAAATGTTTGTTTAGCAACTGACTGCATTCTAAATGAAGAACACAATTGCTGTTGACATGATAGTAAGTTATTGCTTGGCTATGCAAGAGAGCGTGCTTGGACTGGATACCTTCTCATATAATGTTAAATTATGTAATGTTAAATGAATTAATACTTTAATGTTGCATGGGAATTTCTGTAATGAGAGACCACAGACATCTATGGCAGAAGGTGGTAGTCCAAGAGCTCCAGCTGTGAGTGAGCTGGCATGTGCAACCCATCAAATTCCAAACCTGGGTTAACAAAACATAGAATTGCTATGTTCATATAACATGGCATGCCTAAACAAATCATACATTGGGTTAATGTGGCCTGGTTTACACAAAGTATAAAGATAATGGCTGGGTTCCCACAACACATTGAACCCCCATTAAACCACCATAATTTATTCAGTGATGATGGTTTTAGCTAGGCTAGCATTTGTGCAAATCTGGCCAACTAATTATTTGCTTGCAAACAGAAGACTAGGGTTGTATTAGTTTTTTATCTTTGTATTTTTGAACTTTAAATTATTATTAGTTTACATACATTTATTTGCAACCTTAGGTTTTAGCAAACTAAAATTATTATTAAAAAAAAGCAGAGGGAAGACTAGGGAGAGCTGTGATAGTTGTTTACAAAAAGCTGCTACGTGTAAGAGAGGTGTTGCCATTCTCTGTAGTAATCGGGGGCAGGACAAGGACCAGTGGGTTGAGATTTTGAGAAAGGAGATTCAAGTGATGTGGTCATGGAGATAGTCTTGAAGGGAAGATTCAGAAGCCATTACAGGGACTACAAGGGCAGAAGAATTCCTAAGCCCAGGGAAGAGAGGTACGTTGGGAGGAGGCTCCGGCTGCCTCCTCAATGGGTTACAAGAGGGAAGGAAGGTAAAACACAAGCAGACTTGCAAGACTGTTACTGTATACCCTATCTCAGTATTTCTCAGCCTCAGCAACTTTAAGATGTGTGGACTTCAATTCCCAGAATTCCCCAGCCATATCTTAAAGTTGCTGAGATTGAGAAACACTGGCCTATCTCAATGAAGTATAGTTATAGCCTTCCTGTGGAGTCGGTTTCTTGACCTGGTCTATCTTATAGGGGTGACAGGTGAACATTCAGAGACATTTCCTAACAGAAAAAACTGTTAAGGAATCAAACCAGCTGTAGGGAACTCTCCCCTATTAGCGGTATTCTCATGGGGCTGGACAGCCATCTATGAAAGATACTTGCACTGAGCAGGGAGCTAGTTAAGGTGATCTCTGTGGTTCCCTTCTGATTCTTGCATTCTGTAATTTTGTAATGCTTTGGTTCTAAGTACTGCAGCTGCAATTTTCAGTACTCTGGAGAGCACAGATCCCTTTTTTTAGTATTTTTATTGTGGAGCTAGCTGAACATAGCGAAATCCTTATTAAGTCTAATTATCTTGGTTAGCTTTTATCTCACAGCTTCACTGAAAATGGATCACCTAACTCCTTCCTTGGAATGCTGGATGAAATTTCTGAGTTGTCATTTCTGAACATCTTGTCCAGGCAGAAATTCATAACCCCAAATTCAATTCAGGAAATCCTCAGCTTAACGGACCTTGCTTTAGCAGACTTCAGCCATGAAAAAAACATGTCTATACATTGTAGGTTTCTATGGATGCATCAGTTCTCATTTGCCATTTTACACAAGCATAAAAGCTGTGAAATATATAAAATATGCATGTGTGAAATCCCATTCTGCTTTAATGGACCCCCCTTCCCTCCCATTAGCATGTTAAGTTTAATGGCCCCGGTGTTCATTTTGGGTTTGATAGTTATCTAGCTTGATGTAAGGTTTATATCTCGCAGCCTTTGATTTTTGCCTAATTTTGTTCTTTGTTTGCAATTCATTAGAGTGTCTGTAAATTTGCTGCTTTTGAGATCTCAGTAAGTAGAAAGTTGCTGTTTAGCATTTTTACTGCCGCACTTTTGCTTGGAATACAGTGAACATGTGCTGACCATGGCTTGCAACACGGGCAGGCATGCATGGATCATGTCAGAGCATGAAGTTCCCTCCTGTATAAATAAATACGTAAATAAAAGATTCAGCAGGCCAAGTGGCAAACTAATGGAATGGTGGCTTCTCTGAAGTGCTGACACGTCCGTCCTTCAGGATCAGTTGCATATTCAACAAGGATACTTTGTGCGTGCATGAAATTCGTTGTCTAAATGATGTCATTTGGAAACAATTGAGATGCTCCCAAAAGCTATGCATTTGGACTGGGTTTTATTCTGAGTAAGTCTTGGCTACAGTTCACTGAGTTTCAGAGGTTCAGATATGAAGTTTAATTACACCATAGCCTTTCTTCTCCCATTTGGTTTAATTTTAAAAATTTTTATTCCATTACTCATGGAGAATCATTTATTTCCCCCAAAGTAGCGCTTACCAGCCGTAGTACATAGCCAGTTCAGAAGCTTCTAATGTCTTTAGGAGATTGTTTATTTAATTACAGGTAGTTAACATTCCTAGAGATTGTTCTCTGTAAAATGGCAATGGTAAGCTTGACTAGTTTTGCATGCTCACTCATAACTAGTAATGTGATTGGTATGTATGTACCTACCCACCATGGTCCTCCCTTTTGGAGGATGTGACATTACGTAAGAGCAGAGAAAAGGAGTAAGAAATAGTGAGTCAAAGAAATGAAAGGTATAAGATAAGAAAAAGAAAGGGAAACATGGCTAGATCTAGTTTATGTCACTATCATTAACTATCCCTTTCCGTAGCTTTTTGCAAGTGCAAACCATCCACGCTTCCACCACATCCATCTAC